GCCTTCTTTCTTGCGCCACCCCCCCTACGATTCGGTGCCGGTGCCTTTCTCTTCTTCGTGCCTACTCCCCGTCCTTCCCTCTCAGCCTGTCTGGCGTCCATCCGTCGCTGCCTGTCCTCAGACCTCGCCCTCTCGTCCAATATCCCCTGATATTTCTCCACCCAGCGAGGCTTCGTCAACCTATCCACCAGTCTCATATCCCTCACCTGGATGGTCACCCTCTTCGAGTGGATCGCCACTTCGTTTGTGTTCTCGAAGTTGGCGACCAGGTAAGCCTCCGCAACCTCTATCAAAGCACGCACGGCCGTCATCTGGAACCTCACGGCCTGAACAGGGGAAATGTCCTTCTCCATCACCTCGTGGACAAGGCGCAAGAAGGGCCTGAAAGGGATACAAAGGTCGGTGGATCGGTGCAGCCTCCTGATCTCTATCAGAACTGCCATCCCGGGGTGTCTGCGGCGTCTCTGGACCCGGCGAGGCGCATCTGCATTGCCACCGGTCTGTGGCTCAGGCTGGGGGTTCTTCTTTCGCTTGTCACCAGCCGGCTTCCCCCTCTGTGGCCTCGACACAACCCCCTTCACCTTCCTCGGGCTGTGGGACATCGCAGTGTTGCTGGGCTCGGCCACGTCAGCCTGTGCTGCAGAGCACCCTGCAACTCGCTCACTGCCACGTGGGCCCTCCACCTCAGCAGACAAACCACCCTGATGCCCCAGGCGTGTCTCCTTCGTCTGTCCCGGCCTCTGAAGTCCACCTCGGGTATCCTCGTGCACCATATACCGAATGTCTCGCAGGAGGCCATCCGAGTACGTCAGCAGAAACGGCAAACCAAGCGGGTCCTTGAACCTAATCGTCATCTCTCCACCTTGCTCGTATGTCAGGCGACATACGGGCGGGACCCAACCAACATGGGCGGAGCATCCATGCTTGCGGCTGATGTGACCCATGTACATGTTCTCCCCATCGCCCTGCCCTTGCCCACCAGGACTCCCCTCAACCATGCACCACATCCCCTGCTCTGGCATGGAGTCGTAACCCATGCACACCATCTGACGGTCCTCCTCCCTTATCTTCTCCCAGCACCGCTTTGCATGCTCCACAACCAAAACGTGCTCCTTCACATCTGCATTGAAAATGAACACACGTGTCAGTACCACCAGAAACTGCCACTGCTCCACCATGTCTGCATGCATCCACCCCAAGGGCAGCCAATGGCCTGTCTGCAGTTTGGCCGCCATGGTCACCTTGCCATCAACTGTTGCAGGATGCAGACATCCTGGCAGCCAATTCACACGATATCCATACTTCTGAGGGGCCACATGGTGCTGCAACTGCCCCTCAGGGATGACATGGGCCGTAATGTCCATGGCAGCCAGAACGTCAGGCTTCAGGTTGGGCGGGTTCCATACCAGCGGTGACAATCCATCAGCAGTAGCTTCCTCCCCTCTGGCATGCATGTATGTGTACCCCTGCTCACCCGCGAACACTTTCCCCTCTGCCACCTCGAGCTCCACAGGGTTCCGAAGAGGCGGCGAAAAACAACGAGCAGCA